AAGCATCACTTCTTTCTGAGATAACACTGTGGAGCAAGTATTTGAATGTGCAATTAATTACTTTTGTTCTGAGAGACTCGAAAATGAGCACGTATCCGTACTGCTCATTTTAATGACCATGTTTCGTAGAGCATGAGGATTTTCCATTATAGTGGTTGCATTTCAGTAGAGAGGTTTTAGCTCAGCCCTTACTTAGTTCTGTATATCTTAATAAGAAACATTTGCATTTTAATTCTTCCATTGTGCATTTGTATGTTTTAGGAGAGCTAGCCACATAATTACAGCAAGGTGTGGTGACCCATCTTACACAGTGCTGTGCCCTATAGGTAACATCCAAGTGAGGAATTACAGCAGCAGCATTCAGTTCCCTGCAGGCCACCTTTGGGTTTCCCAAAGTGGGATCCCAAGGTTGTGATCCCATGTCTGTAATCCAAAATTCTGTCAGTGCAGGTGAGAGATTGTGCTTCTGGAGACATGACTCTCCTCTTCCGTACAAAGCCACTGCTGTGACCCATGAACACATCTGGTGGATCCTCAGCACTTTACTGAACTCGAGTCTCACTGTCTTTTTCTGATTTCCCATGCAAGCTGACTCAAAATGCTATCCAGAACAAAAGATTGAGCACTAGTGGCTTTACGAGCCTCAGATTAATACAATTTTATCAAAGTAATACAGTGCAGTAGTCCTTTCTAGTGTGGCAATTTCACACTTAAATATATCCAAAATGCTGATGTTCTGATGCTGTAAGCTCCAGTATAGCAGTCTTTTTTAGTGAAGAACCCTCTTTAAACTGTTTACCTTATCTTTTAGCAAGTTCTCAGGTAGCATGATGTTAACATCACTATGCAGCTTCCAAACTGAGCTCACGTAAATACAGTCAATTCAGAGTGTGGGCAGAAGGGGACCTTAACCTGGTCCTCTGTACTCTCCTCAGTGCCTGCAACGTGCCCAGCTTTGCCGTTGATGTAGAGCAGAGAAGTAGATTGAGTTAAGCCGCCTGAATATGGCCAAATTGTCACAAAGGGAATTAAGAATTGGTTACTAGCACACTGTAAAACACCCAGACTTCCTATGTAAACAAGACCAACGCTAGTAAAAAAAAGGAATGAATGTTACTTTTACTAATAAGTTTGGCCATTCCTTTAATGGCCCAATGATGCACTGTTAACGTAGCTGGATATTTTAAGCTGATCCAATCCTAAAAAAAACCCCAAGAAATCATGTTCTTGGCCTTGTAAAGCGTAGCTGTACACGCACATCTTCTCTCATACCTCAAGATTAATATCCTCCCTATTCCCTATGCATAATTTTCAATTTCCCTTCTTTTGTTTGACTAATGAGACAAGGTAACGCTTCAGTTAAGACAAATTAATATTCAAATAGCTGAGAAGAAAGATAAATCAATGTAAGATTTCTTCGTAGTGCATTTTCTCTGCCTTTGGGAAGAGGTCTAGGTCTTAAAGCTATAAGGTTTAGGAAAGTCCCAACAACAGTGCAGACAAAATTTAACATCACACATACAAAGAAAAGTATGAACATAAACTTCCCACACTGGCCTATTCCCATGGTGTTTAGACCCTTCAAATACTTGTAGACATTTACCATATTTTCCCTTAGTCATCATTTGGCTAAGCTTATACATACTTAGGCCTTTTAGTCTTTCCTCATAAATCAAACTCCGCAACCCATGATTACTTTTGTTACTTTTATCTGAAGCTTTGCCAGTTTGATGACATCTTGGTTTATTCCAAAATTTGCAGACAGAACCGTAATCATTGCTGCTCCTAGGGTTGGTCCCAAAGCTAGAGCCCATGAAAAGAAAGGGATGGTAAAAGTTTCTGAGATGCAGGAAAAACAGTGGGAATTATGCTACAGTGGGCACACACTAGTGTCCTCAGAGATGGTTCAGACCAAAGGGGATCTTCTACTAGAATTAATTTTGCATGTGGATAATGCATTGATGGAGTAAGAAACTTTGCTAATAGTGCAGTCTGGTTGTTAGTCCTTGAGATGAGGGACAGTTTGTGGTGGAGAATTAAAAGCAAAGAAACTGCGTAGTGGAATGGGAGGTGGAAATAAGTGAGCTCGTGCTTTCCCCATCTCAATCTCTGCTACTGCATCTCTGGGCTGGAAACTCTCAACTCATTTTGGACCAGGCAGCATCAGCTGAGAACTTCTGTGAGGCAAAAAAATGGTGCTGGTGTAAACCAAAACTTCAGTATAATTAGAAAAGGCGTGCATGCAAGGAATGAAGGTGATGTCATCCAGATACAAGCAGAGGAGCAGAGCGCATATCTAATTCATACTGGCTTGGATAGATGCATGCAGACCGAAAGCTTGCTAAGCCTGAGCACGAAGCAAAATGATAAATGGCAAAGTACGGCCTTGGAGAGAAAAGGGGGAATTGCAGAGCTTTTACTGAGATTGGTGGCAAGCTTCGTCAGGAGGGGAAGTGTAGTATTTGACACCCTGACGTAGGGCTTGCTGACTCTCTCTCCATTCACCTTCAATATTGAAACAGATCTGATGAGACCACAGCACTTCTAGGAAAAAATGGTGTAATTTACCCCAAGGGAAAAAAAAAAGGTGAAAACATTCCTTTTAAAGCTTGACATTCACTATGGTTTTGGATGATTGGCAAAGTGGGTTTACCTGCAGGGTATAGGCTTTCTGATTTTCCCTTTGAGTATGAAGTACGTTTTGTCACTGCTTTCTCCTGAGTGAGGGGACATCTCAAGTCTTATCCACAATCTAGAAAGCAAGATAAAATAAAATATGATATGCTTTGCTCATCCAGACTTCTTTTTCAATCCCACAATTTACAGACATGTTTCTTGCTGTGAGAAATTGCTGAAGTTAAGCTTGCTTGCATTTGTCCACTGGATTACCAGGAAAATATGGGAAAAAAAAATCAATGCAGAGAGAAGTTACTTTTTCTTTCCAAACCCAGTAGAATTAAATTCTGTCAGTGAGAGATTGTTTCTAAAATACATTGTCAGATGTTGCTCATTTCCATGCAAAACAGGATCTCCTTTGCCAAATATGCATGGCGTGTTTGTTCCATGCTATGCATAGTGCTTATGGTGGGTTGCTATCATTGGTCAAATGAAAAATGAAGGCTCAGTTCCAAACTCTTAGTCACTGTTGTTCTGAATATGTGGAATCTCAAGGGAAGAAAACCAAGGCTGTCCTTTTTTAAGAAACCACAAGGGCCCATAATGACCATTCAAGGTAAAGGTAGTGATTTCTTATAAACAATTTCATTAATTTTCCTTGAGTAACTTACATTACAGAGAGAAACGCATTGTTAATAAGTGGAAAGCAAAATTTTGCTTTCAAATTTGTCCAAAAAATAGCTTTGTAAGGTAGGCCCATGGGGCTGTGTCTATCCTGGTCAGGTAAACCATCGTGGGATTACCAGGGCATGTTAGCATGCTCTGTGCCACAATTTTGGCTAATAGGAGCAAGCGCTCCTCCAGACGATGCTGGGACCTGACTCAAATGATAGACAACCCTGGCTTAATTGAATTATCAGAGAAAAACATAGTCTAAAGGACCCAGTGGTTCCCCTGCCTCTGGGGAGTGCTGTGCTCCCCTCTACCTTCAGCACCTTGCACTCAGCATTTGCAGGCAGCGTTATTTCACATTTGTGAGGACTGTATGTCCTTTAAAATTACAGCTCCTGGCTGGCTTGCCAGCATGCGTCTTGAGAGTGAGTGATGTGGACTAGATGGTGTTTTTGAGCCTCCTCCAAATGATGAGGACGTTGAACCCAGCTTTCTCACCTCCTGGGAAGTCCTGCAGCCAGGAGGCAGTGAGATGAAAGGAAAGGGCCAATATCCTTCCCTTGAAATAACGCAGTTGTCTAACGTGTGATGAGCCTGATTTTGCTGGGTGAGGCATGTCCAAGCGTTTCGTGCGCTTGGCGGCTTTGGGGGACTTCCCTTCTGGATGCAGGTGGCTGGGTGCACCGAGGCTGCCCAGCCGTGCCTGGAAGGAGAGCTGCACCTGGGGAATTTCAAGTCAAAAGCTCAGCTGGGAAGGAGAAGGTTAGATTGCAGGGCTGGTCCCAGGTTTCAAGGAAATATTTGTGGAAGAGGAGAGGCCATGTTTAAAAATTGCAGTTTGTAATTCTTATTGCACTGAATCTGTCCCTTTCAGACGGTGTGTGCTTAACACATCGGAAACAGAGAACCATAACTGATACTACTGAAATGCTTGAACAAGAGTTAGTTCACAATTATCAAAAGACCCATAAGATATTCATCTGAAATTCACACGTTTATCTTTTCTGCCTTTTCTGTGTGTATACTAGCAATTGTTAGGCAAACTGTTTATACTTTCCTTATCCTAACTCCTTCCAATTCTTTATGTCAGTATTCTCCCCTCTTCATCTACCTTTTTTTTTTTTTTTATATTGAATCATGAAAACATGAAATAGAAGCATAGTTCTCGGCATTTAAAAAAAACCCTATATCCAGCTTGGACTTCTGATATGAGTTTATCCCCACGGATAAGCACATTTTGAATTTAAGAATTTAGCAGTGTGCTCTCTTCTTTGTTACAAGGCTGCTATTAGTGGACCAGTGTGGTGTCCACTGCTCTCATTAAAGATCAAGGCAAAACAAATCCAACTCTGAAATTACATTGTTATCAATCTTTTTAAAGTCCTGGAATAGCTTGCATTTGTCTCAGCGTGCTCTGTCATCAAGCACTGTGTATAAACACATCTTTTTGCCGAAGACCGTAGCTTCTGCTCAGTTGGAACTATATTGAAAAGATTATTTCTTTTTAAAAGTCACTACTGCCATCAATAATTTCATTTCCCAGCTACTCTGAGCTCATTTCATTTTGATGTGGTCTTTTCCAGAACCCATTTGGGAATTGAAATGCAAATCCTAATGCATTATTTTGTGGTGTGTTTTAAAACTTAGGAAGGGCGGAAATATTCCTGTGCACAGAAAGGCTTAATGATACCTTTTGTATTTTCATTTTCAAGAGGCATTTGTCCCCTGAAGAGTTCCAGGAAGTCTTCAAAATGAGCATTGAGGAATTTGATCGTCTGGCACTTTGGAAGCGGAATGACCTGAAGAAAAAGGCCCTGCTTTTCTAGCCCCTCCCGGATAAAATATGTGCTTAATCAAAACAAAAATAGTCTTGCCAGAACTATCACATGCACTTGCTGTTGAACCATTGTCCAGCTTCATTGTGTTAGTATGTGTCGGGGAAACAGGACAGATTAGATGGCAACACGTTGGAATACAGAGAATTTGCTAATCTTGCATGACCAGATGGTTTTGTCAGTAACTCCTGGTCCTACCCAGTTTACAACGTGCAAAAAATCTAGCTTTAAATTTATTGTTGCTTGCAGTTATTGCTTGATGCAAATGGAAATTATGAAAGGAAGAGAAAAAGTGTAGCTGTGACAAAGGAAACGCATCCAACATTTTGTTCCATTAAGTTTCACAACACAATTTTTACAAAATCAAGTAAGTAACAAATATAAAATTCTCTAATGGGGGATCACATGCTATTAAAAATATGGTAAAAGCCAAAGAAAAGCATGTCCGCAAGCAATTATTGCAATTGTTTATGTGTGGTACTTTTTAAGAATGAAAGCAAAAATATGGAAGCACCTTAATTCTACTTCTTATACTTTAGACACAGCCTACTCTCTAAAAGGTCTTATTTGTCTAGAAGGTAACTAGCTATCTTTAATTACAACACAAGAGTTTTTATTTTATTAAGAATATATTGTGACATAAAACAGTTATAATGACTAAAATGTATACAGACCTACTTAAAAATTTAGTCCCATTCATCAGGAAAACTGAAGCCTTATACAAAACTGGTTTAAGAGTGTATTGTGCCAGTTAACTGTGTTTTCCTACTAGTCTGGGGTGTTTGGAGAACTTTTTTTTTACATTTCATGCTGCTAAAAATACCATGTAATCTTAATTATATGTAGATAGATATATCTATCTATAAAAGAATTATTTTCATTAATATATGTCCTAAGTAAAGACATTCTTACTTTCTCCACTTTCTGGCTTTACACAGTAAGCCATGAGAACTCTGATGGCAATTGGTAGGTGTGGAAATGGAACAGTTCAGCATAAAATGTAACAAAAAAAGCTTGGTGTGCTCTATCAATAATACATCCGATTATAATCAAATATATAAAACCCTCATGCATTACTATTTGCATGTTTCTATACAAATCAATTTTAAAAAAAAAGCCTATGTGCTACTGGTGCAGTACCTTGAAACTATCGTAAATAACAAGCAAAGCTAACAAAATCTAAGCGTTTGATATGAGCGTTAGACCTTAATATCTCTTCCAGCTGAAAGACTGTATTAAATTTAATAATTTCATATGGTCAGAAGTATGGTTGCTGACAAAGAATGTTTTAAAGTGAGTTGCTAGTTTTGTGTGATACTAAAAGAGCATTACAAAAAGTACATTTTTCAGCCATGTGTCAGTATTCTGCATTTTTACTGCCTTGAATGTTTGTACTCACTTCCTACTTCACTATGTCTTTTTGCATTTCGTTAAAGTAACTGGTTAATATATGCACTACAACACACTGTTTCAACTGACCCAGCATTGGAAAAACCATAGCATTGAACATGCCTTCTTCCAACTAACTTTCAAAATCCATGCTGTTGGAAATAAATATTTTCTCATGACCTAAATGTTTTGTCTGATGATACAAATGTTTAAAAAAAAAATCATTAAAACAAAAGACATAACTGAATGACTTTGCTAACGTGTATAATTTTTAGATTGCACTGCTGCTCTGGATAGGGTCTTCCCATGATATTAATGTAAATAATATGTAATTTGCATTAGTTTTTCTCAGTGAGGAGAGCGTTAAGTGTACCTCTGAATGTCAAACTACTGTAAAGTTGGTCATGTTTTACAATCCATCTAGCAGCTGGTACATCTCACCAAGCAAAAGCTGCTTCACTGGTGATATTCAGTGTACAGAACCATTAGCCAGTCTTAATTGTCTTAATTGAGAGCTCCTGATCACCTGTAGACCACATCCATAATGCTCTTCAACCTCAGAATAGCTTGTTCTGTTTTGCCTACATGTGAAAACTGGCAGCACACTGAAATAGGCCAATCTAAAATGTGATCAGCAAGGTCCGCTGGTACTATGTAAATCTAAATCCAGGAGAACAATTGCTTGGGGAGTGATAATGAGTATGTTTGACCTTGGTGAAGCCCGCTCTTCTCATCTACACCTTCCTGGGACATCAGATTGATTACAGGCATCTTCTCCATGAGTAAAAAAAAAAAAAGGCAGGTTGATCAAAGAAATCCATATACTGGTGCAGATCAGGTTCAATGTGGATCTTCATACATAATTTGAAAACTGCTTAACCACAGCAGCTATTGTACCAGTGTAGGATTCAACCTATGCTGCAAGGAAAATGTGCGTTACTAAGCAACACGTGATCAACAGCTCCTTGCTGCTGTGCTGTATTATGCAGATGTGCAGGTGATGACAAGTGAGGACAGTAAGAGCATGTGAGCTCTGTTTGACCCATTTATGCTGTTTTGAGCCACTTAGTCTGTGACAACATCAACAGCCTTAAAAGTGTCTCCTGAAGATCCTTGTCCTACTTCAGCTAAATCAGATACAACTCTTGCTGTATATGTTTTAGCTCATGACCATCAATTCTTATCACAAGGTGCAACTGTACCTAGGAGTGGTACCCCATCATCTATCTGTATTTGCTTGCAAGTCAGTTTGTCATTCTGTTCTCCCTTTTATGGTCAGTGAAGAAGAAAAAAAGCACTTCAATCACATCCTAATGTTCAAAACTAGTTATATGAATTGCACCTATCATATTTGTGTCCACCAAATATAAAGGAAGCTAATCCAGCTGCAGAAGTATACATTGCAAGCTAGCTAATCTTAGATGAAGTTAATTCTATGTCTGCAGTCTGTAAGTGAAAATAATAAGCCATATTTTACCAAGTTGGTGAAATACCAGTCTTAGAACCATTGGTAGTTCCTCGACCATGTTACCAAATCACTTTCAAGCCATCAGGACAGTACTTTGAATTGCAGAGATCTCACAAAACGCCTTAACACAGTAATTCTTTGTGTTCATTATACTATTCACCAAACAGGCACATATTTGATGCCAAACACGCAAAAATGTTTTAGAAGACAGTCAGTTTATCAACTTACGTTCTTACTACCAGCCAAAACCAAAAAGGAATTTTGGCTTCCATACACAAAACCTTTGCTGACGTTAGATGAACAAGTACTCTTGTGTGTCCCTCTTATTTCGTTTTCCTGAAAGTTTGAAATGGTCTGTAGATGTCTGTTCTGTGCAAAGGTGGCATAACTCAATAAGCTGTTGTTTTTCAGATGATACATGTCAGTGTTTCACTCTGTCTTTAAAGCATCTACTGTCATATGGTGTAGGGACCTATTTAGTTATGCTTTCTAGCATAACTAAATTCTCATTTACAATATGATATTGTATGCTGGATTTGGCACCAGCCAAATACACCAGTGTAAAAGGGCCATGAAGTGAGTAGTGTTGTAATTTACTTCACTGCTAAGTTTTCTGTACATTACCTAAACTCCATAAACCAGAACATGACATACCAGAGAATACAACATTTCTGTTTCTAAAATTTATCATATTTTCCCCATTTAAAAACTGCAAATTGGGATTTTAGTCAGGCAGTCTTCTTTCAGGAACTTAAGAGTGTCTAATTAAATGTGAATAGACTAACATGCATAATCAATGTTCTGGTTTATTTCTAGAGTTCCATATGCTAATCTTAAATAGCATTATGAAATGGAAAATGCAGTTCAGAGTAATTAGATAAATCTGTGCCAGAATATTCCATCTGATAGTACGGTCCAGCATTGGCAGTAACAAACTGAGTCTCGACAAATCATCGGCTGTTTTTTAGATAATGCTCTTTTGAGCTATTAAGGTACTGTTCCGTAGTCCTCTTTTCAAGGAAATGCTGTCTTTCACCATTTTGGTAAGTATGGATATGACTATGTAGCTCAAAAGGATCAATATAGGTCTTGAAGGAACCTATATTCATATACATACAAGAAGCAAGGGAATTCTGTCAGAGATTTAATTTTCATACTTGGATCTGAAGTGTATGTCTCAGCTGTTCATGACAACCCTGATGTATGACCTAATTCTCACCTCATGTATTTTAAAGAAGGCATGTCTAAAACACAGCAATGAAAGAGCCAACTTATTTCATCATCATAGTCTTTGAGACAAAGGAACACATGGATTTTTGTGGTTGCTGAGGAATATCTGACCAACAATTCCAGATAGGAAACCAGGCATGCCAGATTACCATTATAGCTGTCTGAGAAGGCTGGACATTTTTGTCTGACCTTCTGCTATTTCTTTTCCCTGTGGTTCAGGGGAGAACTCTGAAAACTGGAGCTGCAGAAACAAGAACATATGTAGTTGTGAGAAGCTACCTGGAATCTAATAACCCTCTGAGACAAAGTGCATTTTACATGAACAAAAAAGATACAGTTCAGACCAAGAGAGATGCCTTGTCTTACATTCATCATTTTGATGAGGAACCATGTATTTAACATTCCCAAGCGTGACCAAGCCAGACCATTAATTTTATTAGCCTTTTCACAGATCTGCAGGAAAATACTGTTCTGCTATTTGCAGATGAGCTAGGTGAGATCCCAGGCACTGCCATCTGTGTGGTGCATGGGCTCCAGGGTGTCCTTATATTCTCCTGTCCCTTTGACTCGTGTGTGAGGAAAAGGGTCATGTTCTTCTAAGCTTCCTTAGATCTAGACTGACCCTTGACCAAGGTGATTACTTGATAGCTCACAGGCGTGTCTACCATTTTTCGAATATCTTGAATATCTGAAAAAAAGACAAATGTTTTTAATATCACAATGACAGACTGCAACCCTCTTGTACATGTAAAATTATACTGGAGGCTTGCATTTCTTCTTCATATCCAGGCCGCCTCTGAGGTATGGCCAAATACAGGCTCACGGGAGGTGCTGGCTCAGGCTTTTGGAGTCTTGGTGGTACTCAGTAAAAATGCATGCCTTTGAAACATTAGATCTCAATAGTTTACTTCTCTGGTAATGAAGCACACACAGCAAATTGAAGTTTGTTGGGTTATTGCAGCTGGTTATTATTCCCTCTTCACAACCACCGTCTCTGAGTTACAGCTAAGAGAAGTAAGTAGATTTGTGTTTTTCTAAGTGCTCTTACTTTCATGATTTAGGACGTTTTCTTCCTACCACTCAGTGTTCAACATCTTGACTACTATGCACACAGGTATTTGTAAGTAGGTAGGTTCCATTTTTTTTTTAAATGGTTGAACAAACCTATGCAGCATTCAAGAAGTTTGGACCAGCCAGTAATCCTTCCGTGCCAGACTGCCCAACAGCAGCAGCTCCAGAGTGATCGGTAGGAAACCAAAAATGGACAAAAGCAACATGTCCCGCATATCTAAATGTGTAATGATTCAAGGCTTTAGAGAAGAGGTTTACTGTCTCAGCTATGATGTATTTACCATTTGTTAGAAGTCTGGGTATCTTTGATTGCTTTTTCTGAATCTTGTTACATTTGTGTCCTGAATGATGTGCTGTTGACTTGTTTCTCCACTTGCTATGATGCACTCCTTTATTAGATCCTCTAACTCTTTTCTCCACTAAAAAATTGCAAACTTTTCAATTTCTGTTGAGATTAAAACCTTTCTTTGCCCTTGATAATTCTTCTGCAAGCTCCTCTCAGCCCATTGTATCTTGTATGCAGGAGGTGGTCTGACAGAATAAAGGCATTACAGTACTT